CAAAGCACCTGTCCCTGAGGAGCTATACCTCAGGCTCACTGTCTGCCTCACTAACCACTAATTTCATGACACTATCAACAAGCCCATCTGACAGGGTGTTGCACAGCCAGACGCAAAGCCTGTGCACTCATCTCCCCGAGAGTGTAAATATTTCATGACTTTCCTAACAACGAATGACTCAGAAATAAAAAATGAGTGATTTCTGTCAAGAGCCTTGTTTACACTGAAGGAAGTGAAGGAATATCTGGTTATACAACAGACAGAAAAGTACATCTGTGTTGATGGATAGAGAGGAAAGCAGCTCTCAGACACCAGACAGACAGTAGAGCAGTTCTTAGACAACAGACTGACTGGATAGCAGCTGTTTGCTCACTGCCATTCATGTTCTAATAAGTTGGGAGGTGCAACAGATGAATGGCTTTCTTTTACAGGAGGGGAAGCAATGGCTAAGTACAGTAGAATCATGTTACAAGGTGCTTTCTTGTAAGCAGGTGCCCTGAGGACCCGCAGCTGGTTTTGCCACACAGACCGTCCAGCTTCGTGTGCACCACAAGCAGGCAGCCTTCTCTGTCATCGGGTTAAACTGACGTAATTTCTTGCACACTGCACATGCCTGATACATGCACAAAACGCTTGCTTATAGTGTACACATGCAGCACACAGGAAGTGATGCCGGTGGGGACCTGTCGATGGGGAAACTGGGCATTTTTCAGGGCTGGTAGCTGGCGCATGTGTGAAGAGCCATGGAAGTGAAATCAGTGTCAGCCATTTATCAGTAAATGGCCTCAGCCACTCTTCGTGCACATTGCTTGCAAGCGCATTGCACAGGAAGTGACTTTGCGGTGGCTATTTTGGCTTTGGATTTATGATCCTCAAACCATGTATTATAAAAGTCTTTTTTCTCTGTAGCTTCCCATCATGACACAGGCAGCGTGTGGAATTCAACCTTGCTCTTGCATCCTGTGGTACAGTGTGCTGGAGCTTTCAACACAATAATTGACAAGGCCATGAACCAGGCCGGGATGTCTGAGGAAGCCACAGGAACAGGTTGTAAAGTGAGTCAGCTCCCAACAGTCGAATCATAGGGGCGGAGGCCAACAAAGCGATCACCAGTCTGTTCTTTTGGTCAAGGAAACAGTGGCTGCAGGAGATCAAAACGAACATGGCAATTAAAATTTAATTTATTCCTAAACATGTTCTTCTGTTCCCTATTGGATGCACAGTCAGTACAGTCAGTGCAGCACAGAAAGAGGCCATTCGGCCTAACCAGTCCGTGCCGGTGTTTATATTCCACGAGTCTACAGTACACTCCTTTTTTCCTCCCATACCTTTCTATTCCTTTCTCCCTCATATAATTTGTATAAGATCGAATGTCTTCATTCTAACCAGCCAAAATATAAATTGAAAAGAAAAAAAGTTTACATTCTTGCAACTACAAATTAAAAATATCCACAAAGCATTTTACAATAAATCCTGTGAAGCAGTTTGGGACATCCTCTAAACGGCACTATACCAAGTGCAAAGAGAGTTCAATAAAGACAAACTTCAAGGACAGTTTTAATAATTTTTTCTGTAGTGTTCAATACATCTTGGGGGAGGGGCGAAAATTATGGAATGGAATGAGTTAAACAAATCTACAACATTTTCATCCTCACAGAGAAAAATAGGAGCAATAAAATGGTTTAATGGTTTGCCAAACAAGATGGAAGTTCACTAACTCAGCAATCTATAGTGAAGTAGCTATGTTCAAATGAACTGATCACTCAATAAAATGCCAGGCTTGAGATTGGCGAGCATTCTGAAATATACTGGAACAAAACTCCTGCTAGTGCTATCATGGCCCAGTTTATTCAGTTATATCTGGATCATTACTAGCTTCACTGCTTAGAGGGATTTTTGCTCGATCATAAGGTTCCTGCCAGTTACCAAATGATTAAACTGTAAATGTTCACAAAGGAGAGCCTACTGTACACTGCAATAACTTGAGATGAGACAGCAAGGCTCCAATAATGGAGCTTTGTCCAGCAGTTGTGCGTTAATCCTTGCACTTCTAATCCTACCCCCTCTGTAAAAGCCTTGTTAAAATGCTTGTGTAGTGCTGTGAATGGGATGATTGTGTGCAGATGGGAACTTCACAGAGCTGAGGCGTTTTCATTCTCATGCTGTGGGTACTGTAAGGCTGCCATTCCCAGCCAGTTAAAAGGGGTGGGAGCCTTATTATCTATCAGAAGGATGGTACCCAAGCTGCTTCCAAATCATTATTGCTAGTGATATTTATGACACTGAAGGCTACGTTTTGCACTACACGAAGAGGAATAATACAACAGAGATAGCAGTGGGACCCCAGCTGGAGTTGCCACCATCATCGAGCAATGAGGAAGAAAATTGTGTGGGAAAAGCCTAATTTAAATTCCACTGAGGGCTCGCTTGGTAAACATACTGCCTGTTATAATATAATAATCTTTGCATTTGATATAGAGCTTTTCACGTCTTCTCAACGTCTCAAAGCGCTTCACAGAATAGACTGTAAAGTAAATTGACCGTATATTTGTGGGTGAAACGCGGCAGCCAATTGCACGCAGCAGTGTCCCACAAACGGTCGTGGATTGACAGTAAACCATGCAGATTACTGTTGACACTAAACCATGCAGATCTTGAAGGTGCCAAATTCAGTGCCTGGTTGGGCTGAGTTAGTTGATCCTAGCTGAGGCAGGATCATTTTATTTGGCCTCAGCCCTTCTTGGCTGTGACAGGAATTAAATCAGCCAAAGATCTCGTCTGTGTTCACTATCTAGCAATTCCCTGCCAGAAGATGTGCTTGTCTGAGGAGGTGAATATACAAGTTTCGGGGGTGGCTACACTTTCCCCGTCTCCATTCACCACTATAATTGAATAACCCGCCAACACGCACCCTTCTAGGTTCTGACATGAAGAAGTCATTCAGTTGAGGTCCTGGAGGGTGAGCATTGTTTGTGGGGCCATATGTAGCATGAATCAATGGCTCCTGGTGAAAGGCAGGACAGAAGGCCAGCACTGATCATTGAGGCAAATTAATCTGCAGTTTAGCAAAAGCAGCCCAAGCAACAAATACAATATCCTCCCTGATGAGGCACAAATTCCAAATGAAAGTCAACCAAACATCACGATAAAGCAGGCAGATGACCTGCCAATGATAATGGACTGCGTTTTCCCTTAACTCATAATAACAATAATCCTTGCATTTGATATAACGCCAAATCACATCTACAAGACGTCTCAAAGCGCTTCACAGAATATACTGTAAAGTGTAGAGACTGTATATTTTGTGGGCGAAACTAATCTTAGATACTGTTTTTTGGGTGCTATGTTCATGCACTTTGCTGTTATTGGTTTCTTTCAATTCCTATTGATTACAAGGAACAAGACTGTATTTTAATCTTGATGACACATCAAGCTCATTTTACTTCCTTTCATATTTTATAACTAATATTACCAGCCAAACAACAACCCTTTGTTCTATACAGGTCCTGCCTCTGATACTCTCTGTCCTGCCATATTCTAGGAAACACTGCCGTTCCTGGTACTCCTCAAATGCTTTATAAATAAAATTCTGGACAGATGTTTCTCAAAGCAGTACAGTTCTTTATTTCCATGAGATAACGTTTACTGTGCCAATCAGATAGAGCAAAGAAGCTTTAATCCTTAAGACTATCATCAGATCCAGAGAATTTCAGGCTCCTCTTTACAGACAGTTTTACTAGTTTTTAGTTCGGGAGAAAACACTTGAGCCTGATCCCACATCCACCCCAACCCAGATTTATTTTTAGTCAGCCAATTGTCTAACACATGCGGAAATCCATCACCATAGTTAAGAGTATCCAAACCAGACTGAGCAGACTACATATGTATACCACCTACACATGGAAATATCCATGTGTCTCCAATGTGTAGGTGGTACACATTTCCAAACACAAGGAAATTTTGAATGCACACTCTCTCCCTGATAAAATAATCTTTGCACTTGAGCGCTTCACAGAATATACTGTAAAATGAATTGACTGTATATTTGTGGGCGAAACGCGGCAGCCAATTGCGCACAGCAGTGTCCCACAAAAAGTCGTGGATTGAAGTGACCGATTTATTATTGTTCTTTTCCTTCTTGAGGGATTATTATCAGCCGTGCGGAGTAAGGAAACTTGCCCAAGGTTTTGCCCTGCAGGAATCAAACCCAGATCTCTCGTTTGCGAGGCAAGTGCTCTGACCACTGAGCTACAGAACTACACTTACATAGCCTGCTGGCAGTCAACAGCTAGGCTCATACACATATAACTGTGTGAGGTACCTGAGTCAGTTGTTGCCAGTGAAACTGGATCCCCATCAAGAGGAGTGGACAGGAGAAAATTGAAAATAAAATAAATCAATTTGGAATACAACTCTATCAAGATGATACCCTTCATGGCAAGAGGTTTGACAACTGGATTAAACAGATCCAATGGAATCACCGACTCACATTAGCACTTTTGATGTTTTCAAAAGAAATGCTTTTACAGCTAATAAATACTGAAAGCGGGCATACACAAAGATTACCAACCCCTTCATCTTTTGTCCACACATTCTGGTCTGCACCTGAAAGCATTCATTATCCCTGTTCAGTAAATCACTGGATAAAGTGGTTCTCTCCCTACCACCCCCATATCTCAAACACATAATCCTGCCAAGGCTTTTACCATTAGCAACCAGAAAGATATTCCTCTCTCCAAGGAATGTTCAGACACACAAATCCTGTGGGCAGTTGCACACACAAATAAAATCAGAAACCTGCTTAAATATCAGTTTGCAACGGCACACATGAGTGCTTCTGGATTGAAAGAGGACTCTGGCTAAACCCACTTTTTTTTGTTGACAGATTATAGGTGCTGCGCGGTTCCACAAGACTCCTGGGAATTTTGTGGTGTGCTTTATGTGTTGCAAAGGCAAGAACAATCCTGGCCTCTGTTCCCTGTGGTGTTTTTTTTACTTACACACGTGTCCTGCTGAATGCACTGCAAGATCCTCTTGGCCGGGACCAGGAAATCAATCAGACAGCGGAGCCCATCACCACGGTAAGATTTTTCGACCACATGGAAGAGCTGCCATAGGACGGTGGCTGCAGTGGCTTCGAACGGAGGGTACAGAGCGGAGAGAGTGTTCTGGATGTAGGTGTCGAGGGATTCCGAGTCCTAAGCGGGAAATTCGAAACAAGAGTAAAGAATCATGCAGAATGACAAAATCAGGGTATCAGCCTCAACACAGAACCATAGAAATTTACAGCACAGAAGAAGGACATTTGGCCCACCGTGTCTCTGCCGGCTCGTGTAAGAGCAACCCTTTCAGGCTCACTTTCCAGGCCTTTCCCCATACGCACCCCTGTTGCTGACTCCTTTTAAGATATTTATCTAATTCCCTTTTGAAATCTTTAAAACAGCCCCATCTGAGAACACTCTGGGCATACAGTGTATTTGTGAATTGCTATGGAGTGGGAGCATTCAGGATTGGTCTTGTGATACGCCCAATCAATCAGCATTGACCTCCTGGTACTCTAGCCCTGAACTACCCACCCTACCAACTCCCCTCCGCGATTCAGGGATGTGCCTGTGATTCTGCGATGTGCCTTGTAAGACCCCAACAACTCATAGTTTTACATCACCTTTCACGTAGTTAAACTAATTGGCAAGGATGGGGGTGATGGGCTTGAGAAGCTTTCTACACGAAAAGATACAGGTCGAGCAGTTCTGGATGACCCAAAGCTCGAAGAGGGTAAAGCTAGGTAGTCCGGTGAGGAGGGCATTAGAGAAGTCTCTTCAGGTGACAAAGGTGTGGTTGAGGCTTTTGTCTGTGTTTGAGGTGAAGTGGAGGGGAGGCGGGTGATTTCAAGGGGATAGAGTAAAGCAAAATTGGTGAGGACCCTCCAGAGGGTCAGCACATCAGTCTATGGGGGTTTCTCATCAGCACAGCATTGGGAACAAATAATCTATCAGTTTCCCTGACAACAGGCAGAGGAGATAGTTCTGAAGAAGCGAGAAATAGGGGAGAGATTTAAGCAGATGGGATTTAAACAGATTTAAAAAGATGATTTTTTTGACCGTGCCTTCAGCTCCCCTCTCGACTCTCTACCCCCTCCTCGCTCCCTCCCCTCACCCTGACCATTTCCCCCCTGCTCGGGTCCTGACCCAACTGTACAGCGCCTTGGGACGTCCTCCCGACGTGAAAGGCGCTCTATAAATGGAATCTTCTTGTTGTTGATTGTACAGCAGTGCGTTATACATGTAAAAATGGGAAGCAAGCTATGAAAACCTAAATTTGATCAGTGTGGTTTGTAATGAGTCAACAAGCTATTGTTCTGAACAAAAAAAGACTCGTTTGAAAGCGATCAAAGTTTACAAACTATGCTACAGTGCAAACAAAATATATATTTGTGCTAAGAGTTGTAGAAAATCAAATAATAGTAACCCCTCCAATGGTCAGTCAATCTTCTGAGGCAGTCTCAGTTCGTGAGTCAGGCAAGTCCGCAATACTTAAGGGTATTGTTGACTAGCTGACTAGCCAGTCCAGTTGATTTGTGGGTCTTGGAGGAGCAGATGAATGACTAGGGACAATGATTCTTCCCACTCGATTCATGTTAACCTTGCAATCTAAATCCCTAATGGGTAGGATAATCTTGGTTGAGCAAGCAGCAGGAATCTTGCCAGTGTTTGCAATGGCAGAGTAGTAACTGATTAAACTCCAGCAGTACCTGAATGCACACTCCCTGCATTAGGTTAGCAGGGTGTGTCACTCTGGAGTCCATATCAGACACAGGGAAATTTGCAGGCACAAACCCATGCACAGCGCCCACAAAATAAGTTTTGCCCACAAAATATTGAATTGCAGTCAATTCACTTTATAGCATATTGTGTGAAACGCTTTGAGAGTTTTGAAGACGTGATATGGCGCTACATCAAATGCAAGGATTATAATTATTATATGGCAACGACAACAACAAATTACATTTATAAAGCGCATTTCACATCGAGAGGACGTCCCAAGGCGCTGGACCCAAGCAGGGGAATAGGATCGGGGTTTGGAGAGCGTGGAGGGGAGGGAAAGTAGGAGGGTGGCCGAATGCGCAGTCGAAGAGGAGGGTCTTGAGACATGCTTTGAAGGGGGCAAGGGTAGGAGCAAGATGAAGGGACTATGGGACGGAGTTCCAAAGGGTGTAAGCAGAGAAGCTGAAGGCCCGACCGTAGATGTTGGGGCGGGCCTCGTTGGGGGTGGTGGAGCAGAGGAAGCGGACAGGTTGATATGGGATTAGCAGGTCACAGAGGTAGGAAGGAGCCAGGCCATGCAAGGCTTTGAAGGCGAGTTGGAGACCCTTAACTGTGGTGATGGGTTTCTGTGTGTGTCCGACAGTTGACACAAATAGATAATTGTACCTGAAAGAAGCGAGTGTGTGCTCATTATATGAGGGCAGGATTGGGTTCATTGGTAACGCCCACTTCAGCCAAAACTCACTGCAGTATCAACGTTCATACATTAATTTGGTCACTTGACAAGACACCGAGTGACCATGGAAGAGGGTCCCAGTGAAAGGCAAAAAATGCATCTTCAGGAGAATAGGAAGGGAAATGGAGAGAATGGGCAGAAACTAGCTGTATTAACAAAATCTATTGTTTTTAATCCTGAGAATAAAACTGTCGTTTGAAAGTTATTGTTATTATTATTGATAATAATTCTTGCATTTGATGTGGCACCTTTCACATCAGGAGGATGTTTAAAAATTCCTCCTAAGATATACAGTACTGTAAAGAATTGACTATATTTTGTAAGTGAACGTGAATCGCAAAATCACATCTGTTTGGCTGAGGGTAAGATATTAACAGTTACTTTGTAGAATTGCCAGCAGTTTGAATAGCAACTTGGTTATAGTGACATAAAGTGGCTGAGGACTGAGTGTTCTTGCTTTCTTCCTCCTGATCAAAGGATTAACTGCGCCGTGCAGGCTAAAATAAACAGTTTGCATCATGACACTTAATATGGTATAAGGACAAACCAGTCAATCCACTTCACAGTATATACTGTGAAGTGCTTTGAGACGTCTCAACAGCATAATAAGGCGCTATATCAAATGCAAGGATTATTATTATTAAACCCAATTTGTGCTGGTACATTGTTTTTGGTGAAGAATAACTGATGAGACGTATTCTGTTTAGGGTGGAGAAGAGCCAGAAGTGCAGCATATCACTTTTGTCCTGAGGACATCATACAGCAGTTTTATGGGATTTTGCCAGTTGTTGGGATTCACAATTAACTGCTTTGGGAATCTCAAAATACAATATAACCCAAGCAGGAGTCTCAATTAATGCCATTGAATCTGGTTTGCACCTACCATCAATTGTGGGATTACACAAGAACAACAACAGTCAAAGAGGAGGGGCTTGAGATGAGTCTTGAAGGTGGCAAGGGAGGGTGCGAGGCGGACGGACTGCGGGATGGAGTTCCAGAAGGTGGGGCAGAGTGGTGGAAGGCTCGCCCGCTGATAGTAGGGCAAGTGAGGCGGGGGAAATGAAGCAGGCCAGTGCCCGCTGAGTGGAGGTAGTGAGCAGGATGGTAGGGGGTTAGGAGGTCGCAGAGGTGGGGGGGGGGTAAGAACATGGAGGGCTTTGAAGGACCAGGATCTTGAACTGTATCCTCTGTGTGATGGGAAGCCAGTAGAGTTGGGCGAGGATGGGAGTGATAGGGTTGCGGAGCCTAGTTCTGCAGAGGACGCGGGCTGCAGAGTTCTGGATGATCTGCAATTTGTGGAGGGAGGAGTTGGGGAGGCCGCCAAGCAATGAGCTTATATAATCGAGCCTCGATGTAGTGAAAGCATGTATGAGGGTTTTGGCGACCTGCGGGACAGTGTCGGAGCCAGGCGATATTGCCAAGGTGGGGAAAGGTAGAGCGGGTCATAGCGCAGATGTGGAGTAGAAAGAATAGTTGAGGGTCAAACAAGACCCCAAGGTTCCCGACTGACTTAGCAAAGTGGAGTGTGCAACCATGGATGGTGATGCTGTCAGCGCCTAAGGTATGGAGGCGCTGACGGGAGCCAATCAGGAGAGCCTTGGTCTTGTTGATGTTCAACTGAAGAAAGTTAGCCCTCATCCAGGATTTGATGTCCGACAGACATTCAGTCAGGACAGTAGTGGTCCTGGAGTCAAGGGTGGAGCCAGAGAGGTAGAGTTGGGTGTCATCAACTTGTATTTATTTAGCGGCTTTCATTCAGGGCGGTATCTCAGAGTGCTTAACAGGCTCAAGAAGGCTTGAGAATGCTTCTATTACTGTCCTGCCACCCAATCCTCAACATTAGATCTACTTACAGGAACAAGACCAACTGGCATGGGATTGTTTTTATCACATTAGTTAGCCCTTGTTGCAAGACACTGATTTCTTTATCATATTACACCCTACCTATTACTACTGCAGAGTACACCAAATATTTCCTCTAGTGCCGGACACAAATTAAATAGGCTAGAAGTTGCCTATTATTGAAGTTGCTTATTATTATATTATTATTGTATTTATAATAATAAAAATAATCCTTACATTTGATATAACCCCCTTTCAGGTTGTCAAGATGTCTCAAAGCACATCACAGGATTTACTGTAAAGTGGACTGACTGTGTATTTTATGGGCGAAACGCGGAAGCCAGTTTGGCCACATTAATGTCCGCAAATAGTCATGGAATGTTTTTTATTTGTAGGATTGTTGGCCAGGACCCCAGGAGAAACTCCTTTCTCTTTTCGAATAGTACCAGGGGACCTTTAACATTCACCTGAACAGGCAGACAGGACCTTGGTTTAAAATGTCTCATCCAAAGGACAGTCTGAAATTATCTTTGAAAAATGTGCCAAGAGTGATTGAAATTATAATTACAAATCTTGGATACTAAAGGTACCCATTTTACTCATATTTATGTTTTGCACAACTGTTCTCTTGAGCGCAATCGTTTTCAAAAATCCAGATTTGTAAAAACTTTTTTAAAAAGATTGTAGCAATGGCTATGCTTAATTCCTCTTAATTTTAATGGAACATGGTTTTCTAGCCCACCTGACAATGTGAAGTAATGAAATTCCTCTCGGCCATTCAAAGCAATTGCTGCTGAACTTTGGCTCAGTTGAACCCATTGCCCGGCATGTGTGAAGTGATGCCAGGACATTGCCA